AAGTTTGGGAACCACTGATCTAAACTATCAAACTTATAGAAGGAAGATTACATTATTTTATTATGGTAAATCATCTTGTAGGCTATAAAAGCATTTTACCGTTGAAATCGGCTAAGGAATATTCTTATCATCAGGACTATTATTGTAATTACTTGTGGCCAACAGTAAATATTTGACTTTGATTGCGTCTTTAAATTTGTAAACGGCTCATTTTTCAATTAGTACTAAAAACTACGGATATATATTTTTTAGAGACTAGTTTTTCGACGTTCTCATTTCAGGATAATAAAGTTTTATTAGCTAATATCTTTTATTCTTTTAATTTTTTTGTTTTATTCCACGTGTATCATAGTAATAAAGTGTACTTTGAATTAAAAAAGAATTTTTAATTTTTTAACTTTGAACACATTTAGATTTTAAGTCAACAGAAGACCCCCAAAGTTTTTGTATGACAAATCTACACTAAGAGGGGTCATGTAAGGACTCTTGGATTCGACGTAAAAGGATCTAAGTTAGTAAATAAGGATACTTAGACATTGTAAGACATTCAATTCTACAAGGATCGTATATCCCGAGTATTATGTATTCATTGACCTTAAGTATCATATTATGGAAAGTGAGTAATGGCACTGATAAAGGATCTACACACGACAGACCGCCAGGTTCCATCCACACCATCTCGATGGCTGGCAATCCACAACCGTGCCGTTTGCGCGAAACTTTCTGCCTCGCACAGCAGCGTTGTCGAATGGTCTGTCCTTGGCGGTATTTCCAAACCGCTACGACTTAGGTTCCCTCAAGAAGCGAGCTTATCACCACCTCAAAGGCAACGCATCTACGGTTCCTCTGGTATTGCTGATGTCTATGGGCGTCGTTGAACACCTCGGTGTTCCCGCTGGTCGTTTGCCCACTTCTGTTATTAAAAAAAAAAGGATTCTTAGTTTTTAAAAAAAATATAATGAGTGTGCATGTGGTTTGCTAATAAAAGATCTAAAATAATTTTAGATGTAAATATGTAGTTATGTGAGGAAATAATGTTTAAAATTGTTTAAGAGTTTTTGTGGTTAGACCATAAAATTTACAACTGAGTGATCTCATTGCTTATTTTGTAACTTTAGATGTACACTTGTATTAGTTTTTTTTTTATAACAGAAGGGGGTAAACGCAGCGGGAATCCCGAGGTGTTCAACGACGCTCATGAACATCAGCAATACTAGAGGAACCGCAGATGCGATGCCGGCCTTTGAGATGGTGATACGCTCGCTTCTTGAAAGACCCTAAGTCGTAGCGCATGTAGCCCTAGTTTACAAAATGCGTATAATATTATATTAATGTTTATTTTATGATATTAAAAATTAAAACATAAAATAATGATGTACTGGTGCAAAAACTAATTTGACAGAACATGCTGAGCAGTTATTGTGTTCTGTATTCCGATCGAACAAAAAAACAATTCTTATAGATTCTTTTAATTTTTGTATCCAGAACATAATCAAGCAGTTGTTCTATCCTTATCTATAAAATACTTACTGTGTTTAATACTGACAATATACATTGCTTAGTTAAACACATCTTTTAACCCTTTGAACGCCGATGATTGATATTATGAACGTCAACGTGGTAACAAAAGGTGAAAACCCTTAAATGTGGTATCACCAAAACATCTTCTGGTATAAATACTTAAATATTTGTCAAATTTATTGTTTCGGATGTAAAAAAAAATAATGATTCATAATTTTGTGGTCACCCTAAGAGTTGTAAAATGTATATAGCAATATGAATTGTTATTTATAATTTTGATAACATGGCTTACAAATACATATATGATTTCAACCAACTGTAACACAACGTTCTGCTTTTAACAAATGTTATGATCGCGCTTACATCCGTTTATAATTTACCTTTTACATATTTATATATTAGTGTACATAACAGAAATATGTAACAACTTTTGTATTGTTAACATGAAGAGGTTAAATGGCCTAATTGTTTGTTACTTCCGGGTGTACGCTAATCGTGAAATTTCTGCTAAAGTAACTATAGAAACACTTCTGTTAAATATATATTTACTCGTTTCAACGGCTCTTTTTCTTTCTCTATTTTTTTTCGAAAGGAATGTTATTAATAGAAAATATATTATCCCATATAGTATCTACATTTCACAAGAGTTGGAAACCTATATTCTGCATATTCGGCTGTAATCGCATTTCTGTAACGACATAAATTAATATGCCTTAAAAAACTTTGTTATTACTTGTGATATTATTGCCTTTAAAAACAAAGTTTTTAAGGCAATAATCTTAAAAGTCTTGGGAATAATACGAGCGTTTGTTCTTTTATTAAAAAAAATACGATTCATATGAGACATCAAATATTGCTTTGTTTTTTTTTATATAAATCTACATTTTCCTGGTTACGCTTCAATTTTTTATGTATTATTTTATCTTAAATATTTTTTATATCAATGAATAAACGTTGAATCATTGTTGTCGCGTGCACAGATAACTGAAACAATGGATACGGTTTCTTCAATTTCCTTCCTTGTCGGAAATCGACTTTGTTTTTTTCAACCATGATTGTTGTTTTCTGGATATTGTTTATAGAAATGAAATTCTCATTTTTTTTCGAATAGATCGATATAACTTGTTAGTATTACCGTTGAATTCCATTGCTGTCGCCCTTATATAAAAACAATACTTATCTCTGTTTTCTCAAAGAGAATGAACGGGATAACAATATGTTTGTGTGCTGGTGTGAAAGTGGAAATCTACATTTTTTTTATGTCATAAGGTGGCAAACGGGCGAGCGGCCACCTAAAATAGCTGAATAGCGAAGTGACCGTTGCCCATAGAAAAACGCAATTGCATACGCGTTGCCTATCTTTAATCGACGGAGTAGAGAATGCACAGAATGAAAATATTTTCCCCTTCCATGCATCCTCTCATTCGGAAAGTCCACTTCCACTTCCCATCCTTTTCTTGTGAGAAAAAGGGTGGGAAGGGAAAGAGGACTAAATTACGCCTCCGGGACGCACACTTCTCAGACGAAACGCGGAATGGCTTCTACTTCACGCCTGTCGTCTGTGTAGTCATGGTATTTTACCGGGCGAGCCGGGCCAATTCGTGCGAAGATGTTGAAGAGGGCTCTACCACTGTTAGACCACATTATAAAATCAGTATCATATTATTAATAACCAGCGGTTGCCCGCAACTTGATCAGCGTGGATTTAGCAGTTAGTAGCCTAAGTTACTCCTGCCCACATCAGTTACCTTCTAGGGAGAGTCCAGTCAAAATAGTCCCGTCGTTTTGCAGATATTTAGGAACAAATGCGGACAGACTTTTCCATATAATGTTCACAAAATATGTATAATATATATTTTTTATATTACATACACACATTCCAACTTTATTATAGTATAGATTAGTATGCATATATCATATCATTTCTATTTCTAGCTAATAACTGACAGCGATTCTTATTGACAAACACTTTGAATGTATTTATTTATACGAGTACCATGAACTTGTCAAGTGGACGGAACACTTCTTGTTGCGATTTAGTCGTGCTATGAATTTTGATTATTGCACATGTATCTTTATGTAGAAATTATATCAAGTAATATTATATTTTTTTCTATTTTTTTACTAAGAAAATTAAATCTACAAACTAACGATTAGACATTTAAAATTTTATTTTTTTCTAAGTTCTCTCTTAACGGAGATAAGACAAAAGATAAGGGTAGCCTTTTAGATTTTTAAAATAAATATTAAATCGTATAACTTAGATTTCTAGATAATATTCCATAGATATTTACATTGTAAACTTTACAAGCTATTAAATTATCTGCAACTGTATTTTTGGTAGTATAGGGTCTGGATGAAATTTGATATGCATTACTGTCTGTAAAATTAAACAGGCTATTTTTAACCTGAAAAAAATATGCTTCCAATAGGATAGAGTTGATTACCTATTTTATTTTAGTCATTATTTCGGAAAAAAAATACTCAGTTTATTGTTGAGCGGAGTCGCAAGCAACAATTAGTTGCTTTATAATTCCCAACCTTCTGGTACTTGAGCGTATAATGAGCGTAGTGGTGAGTCGGATGTCCTCAAGGCAGATAGTCATCAAGGCGTCGCGCGAATCAGTGTCAAGAGTTCTTGAGACCTTGGGCACTGTGACAGCAATTACACCGGGACAATGAACTGAGCCCAACTATGCGTGGAGAATGTAATTAACTAATTGTTATAGGCATATTTTGTGATTACGAAACAATAGTGAATACGTCTATGTATGTTTGTTGTTTCTAAGTAACAGTATCCAATGCGTTGGCAAGAAATGCGAAAATTATATAATAATTCGCGTTTCTTGTCGAACTTCAAAAAGAGAAATGTTGCATATTTGGGCCATGTCTTGCGACACGAAAACTACGGACTTCTTCAACTCATAATGATGAGCAAAATCGTTAGCAAAAGACGTGTTGGAAGGAAAAGAAAGTCCTGATTGAGAAACATCCAGGCATGGATTATTATCAGCATTGAACAACTTTTTCGCTTGGCACGGGACAGGGATGGGTTCGCTGAGCTGACGGCCAACCTCTAGTGTAGTGAAGAGGCATAAGAAGACGTAACCGTGGATACACTAACTTCTAATATGATTTAAATAGTTTCTTTTGCAATTCATTTAGCTAGGAAATGTATATTACATCTTGTATTTAAAGTAATAGTAGCAGATTTCCTAGAGCCTTGTTATTGTTTGTTGCAAAGGTCGCCTTTTTAACCTTCCTTCTATAATTAATTGGAAAATTGTCGCTTCTTTTGCTTAGTACGAAATGAAATTATAATTTTCTTAACTGGTAATATTTAGAGAGGGGAAGACACGATGTTTTTTTTTACATTTAATTTAATTTTTATAACTAAATGTCAGACATTAAAAATACTTTTTCATTGCATAATTGTACCATTTAGTGAAATATTAATATCTAAGAAAATAAAATAATAATTAAATAATACATTTTAATAGCAATTTACACAAATATCTTAACAAAGAATCAACATTTCCAGAATTCATTGGGACATTTCTGAAACAAACAAAATAATAAGTACCGATGATAAAAGTTTTTAAATTTATTCGTAGTTTTTTCAACCTAACAAATCTTATTTGGACAGATAGTTTGAAATTAAATTAAGACTTCTGGACATCGGATCGTAGGGTAGAGCCCGCTTTAACATCTTCGCACAAATTGGCTCGGCTCGCCCGGTGAAATACCACGACCACATAGAAGACAGGCGTGAAGTGGAAGCAATTCCGCGTTTCGTCTGATGAGTGTGCGTCCCAGAGGCCTAATTTAGTAGTCTTTTCCTACCCTTTTTCTTATAAGGAAAGGATGGGAAATGGAAGTGGACTTTCCGGATGTGAGGATGCATGGAAATGTTTTCTTTCTCCTCCGTCGATTAAAGGTAAGCAACGCATATGCAATTCTAAAGTCTGTTTCAGCGATTTCAGGTGGCCGCTCGCTGGTTTCCCACCTTATGATAAAAAAAAAATAGTAAGGCTAGTGTTGAGCCACACTGGCAATGTCGGATTTTCTTCCTAACATTAGTTACCTTTAACATTGCAATTCCAGTACACGCGAACACATCGTAAGCTTTGCACGGATAATCGAGATACTGCCGAAGATCTTTCTCTATGCAATCGTTAATAACTTTTTCTATCGCTCCTGTCCACCCCTTGTTGTCTTCAAGCCATTTTAAAAGATGTTTCTTATATGATTCCTTATTCAAAGTATTTTTGTCGACAAGAAAACCTGATTTCTCGAAGATGCATTGTACATCGTTGCACTGTAAAAAATGCATTTACAACATAATATGTAGGATTTTGTAACGTATTAAAAGTCAAAGAGTTATAATGGTCGATTAGTGATATAAAAATATTCTTACTGGTCCAATCGGCCTTGGATTTGAGCATTCAGCTAAATGTTTTGGATCTCCTATTTCAGGTATATCACAGCAGACTGATATGGGTTTCTGAAATTAGTAAGTTATAAATTATTAAATAACAAAACGGAGGTAAATAATTTATTATTTTTAACTACATTTGAATGGAAACTAAATTCCTACAGAGAGGAGTGAATTACGAGTATAAATATTTAATTAAGACTGCACTTTTACCAGAGTTGCTCCCCTGTTTGGCGCTTGTACAAAGACATCAGCTTTTGTTACCTGAAATTGTAAATTAATTTAAATAACATGATTGTTACACAATGGCTCCTTGACAGCGCCTGCCAAAATATTATAGCAAGATCTTAAATCGTAGGATTTAGGAAATTATTATTTACGTTATTTTGAGGTACGTGTAAAGTGATTATTTTGGCGTATTCAACCGAAATATTGTTGGAAAATAACAGAAGAGAACTAGATGTAACAAAAAAGTATTAAAGAATCTTTTAATCTACTGTGGAAGCCCTAGTACGGTCTTTATTTATGTCAGGAAATACCCCGCGACATTATAAAACTTGACCTTAGTGATAAAATTCTCTTGAACATTAATTTGCGGTAATAACTCTTTAATTCCAAGACATTTTATTAAATAGCGTTAAAGAAATTGATTATTTTTTAAAGACAGTAAGAACATTGTTCAAATTAATAAAAAATCGCATTTTTTTAACCTCCAATATTAAATAATTCTAAACACAACTATTTTGAATGTATAAAATGAAAACCCTCGAACACTTACCAAAATAAACAACGTAACGAAGAAAAATAATCGAATCATTTTGCACTTGTGTCCTCTCTCAACGACTGGCGAGTTTGTCCTCGAATGGAGAGAGCCCACACTCTCACAACTATAAACAAAAGATTAAAATGTATAAATGCAAAACATTATTTTACTAATAAAACAGACAAATATTTTGTCTGTTTGTATATTCATTTTAAAATAATATATAAAACTTATACTATTTTTACGGAATTTATACGGATGAATACAAATGTAGAGAATATTTGACAAAAATATTTGTTCAAAGTTCTAAAGAGGATAATTTTGAGAATGTAGTCGTCAATTGGGACACTGGTGTTAGACATATAGAAAAGTAATACATCCGTAAATATACAAAGAAGGGAAAAGAGCGGACAACTAGAAACTAAGGCAATAATTTACATTTTTAATGTTGGATCCACAATTTTGTGTACTTGTATACAATTTAGAACAAAAAAAGCAACTTCGCGTTAAATACTAGTCTTTTTATAAATAACTATCAATGACGTTGAGATGTTCTTGAAATGTAGCTTGTCTTACGACCCCTTTGAACTCAATAATCTTTATGTTTATTATTGGAATTGAAATTAATTTACACTCTTTATCGTGGGTTTCTCATACCAAAATGGTCGATTAAAACCTTTTGTTGTCTCCGTTTGTCCAAAGATGATGATAAGGATGACAAAATATTTTATACAGATATTTTAGTCTCAGAAACCCAATGTTAGACATGTAACAATATTTGTTTTACCGCAAGTAAAACCGCATTACTAAGTGTAATATTTTAAATTTTTTTTTGGTCTTGTATGCGTGGTATTTTTTTTATTTCATTAATATATAATAATTTTGTAGTCATAAGTTAACTTATTTCATAATTTAACATAACTATTAAATTATTCAAACTTTCGTGAGACATTATACTAAACTGATATATAAACACGGCTAAACACTTTTTTTATAACTATTAAAGAAAAAAATGCAATTGCGTATGTCTATGGGTAACGGTCACTTCCCTATTCAGCGATTTCAGGTGGCAGCTCGCTCGTTTGCCACCTAATGATATAAAAAAGCAACTGTCGCCCGCGACTCCGTTCCCGCGGAATTAAAAAAGTACCATATGTATTGTTCCACACTATATTTTACATCTGTGCCAAATTTCATAGATATCCGTTGAGTCGTTCCTTAGACAACTTTAAATAAACATCCATACATCCATCTAAACATTCGCTATTATAATATTAGTAAGATAAGAATGAACTGTGAAACTCCACTGCCGTAACATTTGAATTAAATAATTTGTATTTCTGAAGAATAAGATGGATGACAGTGTACACTGTGGTAACCAACTCTAACATTGAGACTATTCAGATATGATGAGCATTTCTTTATATATTCTTACTTCCAAAGAACACGATTAATGAAATCCGAACACGTAGTAGCATCGTTTGAAACTAAATGGTTCCATTGTGAAACTTTAATAAAAAGGAATATGATTTTACACGGGGAAACACCACGCTTTTGCGAACTACTTTCAAAGCTTACTAACACAAGCTGCTGTGTGAGTGCGAACGTTATGCACAAATGCATTGAAGTTTTAATGGACGGATGCCATTTCAAGGATTGGTTAATTAAATAGAATTGCTGTAAAATTTACTAATACCGTGAAAATGTTTTTACAATGTCACATTGTACTGGTTTTCACTTTTTCTTATACTAATTTAAAATAAGGCTCCTTAATAATAAGGTACGATAAAGTGCATAACAACCTTTGAATGAATATATAAGTAGTTCTAATCTTACTAATATTATAAATGCGAATGTTTATATTTAGGGAAGTATGGATGTTTCTTAGAAAGTACCTCCAGAATGGAATGGATCTCGCTAAAATTTTACACATGTAGAACATCTTCTGGAAAGACAAGTAGGGTACTAATTAAGTTTTTTTTTTAATTACACACGAACTGAGCCGCGGGCAACAACTAGTTCTTCAATCAGATTAAGTCCCTTTTCACTGGAGACAACTCTCCAACGAATGTATTGTAAGTTCATGGGTTGGTGTTTATCTGAATATTGCAGTTGTTTATTCCTTGCATATTATATTTTCATGACATCTTCATGCATGTAAACTTATTCAACTCACGTAAATTTTCTTATGATAACCACAACATAAAACATAATGACATAGCAATATTATACCCTAAATTTCTCAACACCGAGGTCGTAATCCGAGAACAATGTCTTTGATATATGATAGCACAAAATTTATTACATTATAATTTAATATAGACTCGATGATACGTCATAAAGCATTTCGACTTGACTGTACAGATCTATAAATGGTTTAATCTAATAAAAGTAAAAGTAAAATCCTACTGTCGATGATTGTACAATAAGGTAGAGTTCTTTGTGAAAATAACTATAAGATTAAACTAACAAAATACCTATATAATACTATACATACTGTTATCTTAGTTTAGGAAGGATCTAGAAGTCAAGCAGACATCTTCCTTTCTGATTAAAATAAGACAATTAGTTTCGATTGTCATTTAAGATCGAGATTCAATATATCAGATTGTCATGTGGTTCGTCTGTCTACTGTTTCCTAAAATCTTCTTTATATGTGACCCAAGTGATGAGTCATTTAATAAAGAATTGAGATGATGATAAAAGACATGGAACTGTAATGAAGTAGTTTCTATTCCATCATCGTTTTTATGTGCCATCAAAAAAACTGAAATAAGTCCATATGAGTTCTATTTCGGGGGTTCGAAGTGTTTTAATATGCTGGTAGGTTCTTACTCGTACTTTATCTTATACTACTCGTATTCCTTTTTATAGACAATAGTGTGGTATCGGTATTTATCCGTAATAAATCGCAAAAGAAATTAAAAAAAATAGCAATTTTGCTATGTGAAATAATTGCTATTTTTTTTTAAATTTTTATATTGGAAGCCTTTACTTACCATTTAATCTCACAAGATTCATATTCTAGTAATTATAAAGAAAAAATTAATAACTCTGAAATCTTGTTACTAATCATTTACATCCCTATAAATTGGACCTACGTAAGATTAGTACCACATTGGCTTGATATCGTTCAGTTTATTTGTCGTAAAACCGACCGTAATCAAAGCTATTCGAACCAAGATGGATAAATATGGCAAACGTATTTGTCAAATGTTTGCGTATTTCTATAAAATAAGCGCCTAGTGATTTTTTTTGTATTTTGCACAATACACGATAAAAGACAACAGACCACCCTTTGTCTCATAAGGAAAGGATGGGAAGTGGAAGTGGACTTTCCGGATGAGAGGATGCATGGAAGAGGAAAATATTTTCTTTCTGTGCATCTTCTCCTCCGTCGAATAAAGGTAGGCAACGCATATGCAATTGCGTATGTCTATGGGCAACGGTCATTTCGTTATTTCAGCGATTTCAGGTGGCCGCTCGCTCGTTTGCCACCTTATGATATAAAAATAAAAAAAAGACATGTCGGGCTGATACCGAACAAAATCTCTTGAAAGCCTTTTTTATTGTACATCGATTTAAATATATATATTTTAAAGTACATCTAATTGAAAGTTTTATATCGCTGAATTCAATTTAAGATAAATTTCGAAGTAAAATTTAGAATTAGAAATAAATCAAGTTCAGTTAGCAAAGGTTTCTTCTCTCTAGAGAATTACTCGCCGCGGTTAACAACACCTGGAGTATTTCGATGTTAGCTCTCTCCTACAGCGAAATGCATTCGCTCGTCGATAAAAATAAATAATGTATTTCACAATTTAGCTTTGTTTACAACCTTACAATGTTTTATATTGAAACGTGGATTGTTTTAGAAATTATTATTTCTTAAGATACAATAATTGCTTGTTTTTTTTTTAAAAAGTTGTAGCGTCAGCAAAAATCTTTCTATTAACAAAATACTTGATTCACAGATTAGAAATGTACATTAAGCTGGTAGGATATGATGTAAATTAAAAAAAATCACGTACACGCTACAAAGGTCTACGAGTATCTGGAATCTATTCAGTTACGCGCTACGCACGTCTACGATTTTATTGCCGTTTGTCGTAGCAATCAAGTTTACATCCAATAACTTATCTGCATTCCGCTCTACACTGTGACGTCATCGAAAGAGGTTTAATGTGGTCATAACTTGTAACGACAGTACCGATTTGTTGATTACTACAAAGTAATTAATTGCGAGACTTTTAAACAACAAAGTATATATTGAAGACAGGCTTTTTAGCAGCTTTTTGGAGTATTCGTAGATAAATCCTGATTTATACTTAAATTAAAAGTAAAGAAAATCCATTTTGCGATTAAAAAAAACACATTAAAATAAAAATATTTGTTACATTTCTTTAACATTCTATTGCATTGACTCTACCATAAAGGTTTCTTTAAGTTTTATTAAAACAAAAGCTATGTCTTAATTCAATTTTATTTGATCTAATATACAGCTAACAACTCTCTAAACCCTGTAAGTGGTCGGTAAAGTCTGTGACGACACCTCGGAACTTTATAGACAGCGCAAAGAGTTTGATTGCGCAATAAAATGACCAGACAACCGCAGTGGGCGACGGTTTAACTGAACAATTGTTAAAAAACTTTTGTTTTATATTACTATACCACAACTTTCACTGCCTAAGTCCCAAAGATATTTAAATATAGTAATTAGCTCACGTATTATATCGTACTATGGATGAAGGACATAACCTGGAAGAAGACATAGGCTACTAATTATGTTTTTGGTGTGAAATCAATCTCCTACTAACAGACTTAAAATTTAAAGAGATAAGTATTAAATTACTTTACTTTGTAAAAAATTACAAAGGGCGCTTCGAGACGCCAAGAATAATTACGAGTCATTAAGTAATGTAAGTCCCAGCGCTAATTGATTTGAAGTGAAAACATTAAACAATTTTAAGCAGCAAGGACAAGGAAAGTGCTTTGTAAAATTCAAGATTTTTTAATGTATCTACACTTTAGAAGAATAAATAGAAAAATGTATTTAAATCATTGTTATTAAGTCCCAATCGTTATAGTATTGTTATTATCGTGGGGTACCTTTGACGTAAACATATCGTTAATTTTTTTTAATGATAAGATCTTTTGTAATAAGTATTTTAAACAAATATGATATAATATCAAAAAAGGGTTTTGACAGACAGACGGACAACAAAGTGATCCTATAAGGGTTCCGTTTTTTTCCCTATGAGGTACGGAACCCTAACAAATAGGCTTACTATATAAATGGATAAAAATAAAACATTAGCTCGGGAAAAATAACGATAATGTATCCTTCTTACCTTCAATACTGATTGACACTGTTCACGTGACTTATTGAGGTCATATTCTAAGAAGTAAGTATGGAATAAGCAACTTTGAATCTCCTATTGTCCCTCACAGAAAAACATTATACGCTTATTTTTTTTGTAATCTTCTCACTTAATAACCCACTACAGCTCTATCAATTTTCATATTAGTACATTAGTAATGTAGAGAATTTTATTATAGTAACTTAGTTATGTTTTACTTATCGATTTATAATATGCTGTTGTTTCTTGAAAAATGTAAAGAGTGACTTAGGTAAAAACATTTAGAACTATTTAAATGTACGACAGAAATTGTAAATGAAATAAATACGAAGTTAGTAACAATAAAACGGAACATAAAATCATTTTTACTAAAATAAGCAATAACAGATTATAGCCACATATAAAAAAATCTTTTTAGAAACACGTAAAAGTATCCTCAGATGAAGCAATTATTGCCAAATCTTGCTAAGCACACAAATGCCCGATGACCTCAATCCGGTCATTCGATACGCCGTGTGTGACTGCGGCAACGTGGGCGCCTCTCTCAGACGTCCCGTTCCAATCATATTTCCTTTTGTTTACTCCCAGTCTCCTCATAGTCGCCCGACGCCTTTTGTTCACGGAAAAAACATGTTTCTCTAGGGCTGACAAAAATTTGAAATCGAAAAATGTTAGAAATTGTAGTAATATTATAAATGCGAATATTAGGATAAGTGTCTACTTATGTATGGATGGATTGATGGATGTTTGAATAGATGGCATGGCAACTAATTAAGTTTTATTTTAAATTACGTGCGGAAGGAGTCGCGAACAGCAACAGCAAGACTTTTTATATTTTATGGAGAATATATATGGAGAATGAATCATTTTATTTTAAACGAAACATATAATAAGACTTCAGATTAACTTTAATTACCATTTTAATTGTAGTTAACAGTAATTTGACACAGCATACTCTTTCCACTTACAATTTAAACTCTGAAGTTTTTTTATAATCTGTTTAAACGAATAATTATTAAATCCCAATAAAGGGATATTTAAGGAGAAATTGACAATTTTTTATTAATTCTGAAAAAAAAATATATTTTACTAATAAAAGCTATTTTAGGATTATTTATCTTATATCGAAGGTAAATGATATTTATCAATAGATATATTTATCCACCTCATGTTAATGGCATTGTTGTCTGATTTAGGGCTGGCACTCACCGCAAACGAGTTAGCTAACCTAACCGCAACTTTTCCCGTTCGGGATTGACCGCTTTGCCTTTAAATTTTCGTTTCAGGGACCATTTTTACTTCATTTTAAATTATGAATAGAAGAAATAGGACTCTGTTTTTAAATTAAAATGTTCGTTTTTGAAAAATTTTCAGCACTTGTGATTATTTCTTATAGAGCAGATAAATATTAATTAAGAACCGGATACGCAGCCATGTATTGTAGCATTGTAATTAGGATCGTTTGTATTTTGTGGAATTGTCTCAAAATTTGGATTAAATAACGATACTGAAAACATAATGTAAAAAACACTGATTGCAAAATCAACAGTAGTATAGTATGACAAAAAATGTAAGTACATCTATATTTTCTGACTAATCTTCAGTGATTCTTGGTTATTTATTCAATTAATAATAAAGTGAGTCTGAATCACGTAGTTTTCTAAATAAAACATTTTTGAAATATTAACATAAATGGTTTAAAAGATAACGTTTACTATAATTTTTAAAATAATTTCATCTTTTTTTTTAAATTAATCTTACTGTAATTATTAAAAATAGACTACATATTAAATATTTATATAATTTTACCATCACACGTGTCAACGACTTGCCAATGTCGAAATCCATTGCTAATTTTGATTTCTTAGATTGAAATGCAAACTATATTAGTAGCATTCCCTCGTTGGTTATGCTTGTTACACACGATAGTACCACAATGCGACAGAGCAGTTTATAGTGCAGTACTGATATTGTTCGAACGTATACCGATGAGACAAATGATAAAGTCACATTTGATTACACGGTCAACTCTTCGATTACTTTGTCTAAAGCGCTGCCTCTACCTCTCAAAAGTCTAAAATATCTGGAACAGACACTAACTTTGGATCACGTGCTTGTTACTTGCCCCATATTTCTTACTATACATTTTAACACATGTTGATAATTCTACTAATCGCTACTCGAATGTAACTTTCTCTACGAGTTTTATATGTTTCGGCAGTGTGCCTTCATAGCGGTGTTGTACTCTCTACTGCTCTGTGTCATTGTTCTACCGTCGTGTGTTCCTAGCATTAGCGGTGGGCGGCGTAGGGCGGCGACCGACAGGCTCTATATAAGCGAAGGCTTGGGCGGGCTACACAACACTTGTTGCGATCGCTCCTGTCAGCTTGTCGTCGAAGCCTTCCTAACTTCACACGTTTCAGGTAAGTCAATTTTACTGTTGATAAAAATGTTAGGAAATTATACCCATGATATGTAGGCGGAAATATTTAATCTGTGTGACTTAGAATTTTTTTTTCTTAAATTTAATAAAATTTATAAAATGTATTTGGGATATTAACAGAAAAAAGTTTGATATTTATATTGTCTATTTCATATAAAAATACGATAAATTAGTGTTTATAAAATAAAACATAAAAAAATTAATTCACTTGTAAGAATTAATTTGAAATATTAAAACTAAATGCAATAAAAAGAACGTAATATAACAAGGAAAACAAATCAGCTGTATTACAACACAATATAAAGCTCATTAAAAAAGTTGTAGGATATTGAATAACTTGAGATATTCGGTATAATTGAAAATATGCCAAAAATTACAATGAAAAGAACAACGGAAATATAATAAAACCACCTCTTTTTGTGAAAATAATTTGATAAATATAAGAATTAATTTTCATAAGATTTTAACCTCTTTTTATTATTTTTTTCGTAATTCTAAAATACTTATTTTATCGATATTCTTTTGTTCGTATTTTTACTACTTCATATACTAACTTTAGCTAAGTCAATTACTTAATGGGGAAAGTTGCAAGCCGGATGTTGGCCTTTGGAAATTCATTGATATGCAGTTCCGCAGTACTTCCGATAAGTTAATATCAATTAAAATTTGAATCGTAAATAACTTTTCGATATAATCCGACTTGCTGACTTATATAACTATTAAATTAGTTGTTTAATTTTAGTTATATATCTGGCATAACTTAAAAAACTAACAAAACACAGATAGAAATATAGTATTCAAAAGTTAGTAGTATTTAAAGCATAGTTAAATGTAATCATAAAATGGATTTAATTTTTCTAAGTAACAAGAATTTACACTAAAATCCATTCGATTTTCATACTTAATTAAAATTTCTTTTTTTCTACTTACTAATATTACTTATAAAATAAATTATTAACATATTAGAGGCAAATATGCTTACATTTTTATTAAAATACTATCCCTTGATCGCGTCCTTTTTATCTTATATCTTTATAATAGAACTATTTAGAAACTTTATAACATAACTGTCCCCTATTTGGGTAAAGCCTGTTTAACAAAACTATACCTATAAGAAAATTCTGTATGTAAATATATTCAATTAATAATTTCCAAAATATTTTGTCATGACTTCATTTGAACTAGGCGTTTATATGTACTTGAAAACATAACCAAGTTGTCTTTATTCGCCCTTTAACTTTACAGTTTTAATTATGTTCGTTTTAATATTAAACATAAAGCTATAAGTAAGAATTATGCAGAATCGACGAGATATGAAAGTAATATTAATGGATACAGACAAGCCGTGAGCAGACTGAGCGTGAATAGAACTATTCATCCGTGAACTATCACGTATGCTCATTGAAATCAACAGTTGAAAATGACGCATATACGCTTATGTCTCGCATTTTATATTATAACAAAAAATACTGTTTGTTACTGCAGTTTTTAATTATTTAATACTGGCTGGCGCCCGCAACTCCGTCCGTAAAAAAACTAAATTAGTAGCCTATGTGTTCTTCCAGTGTTTGTTCTATATCTATGTCAAATTTCAACAAGATCCATGCAGCCGTTCCAGATGTGACTTTTTTTTATCGAATAGCGAACTACGTCTATAATTTTAAGCTCTAAGCGTTTTCCTTGATTTTTTCTTCATAACAACTAATACATTTTCTAATTTAATTTCCACGATGTTATATTTATGCGTGACTTAAGTAAGAATTTCTCAAGCTTGTGTAACATTTAAATTAATTATTGCAAACGGTCCTCTTTAAACTGAAAACATTTACACATCGTAAACCCTTTAAGATAATCTAAATGTAAAATGTAAATTTACTAAATTAAATTAACGTATTAACCGAAAGGAAAAGGGCCGAGGTGACCGTTAGTCTTACTAATATTATAAATGAGAATGTTTATATGGATGGATGGATGTTTGTTTGAAGGCATCTCCAGAATGGCTGCATAGATCTTATTGAAATTTGGCACAGATGTAGAACATAGCCGGGAAAAAAATAGACTACTTATTAAGTTTGTTTTTAATTCCGTGCGAACGGATTCGCGGGCGACAGCTTGTTCAGTAATATATTATGAAATGTCGTTACGGCAGTTACCATAAAATGAGGTCATTTTAATAGGAATTTTCGGACGCTTCATGACGTCATCGCATCACAAAATTCGGGCACATCTTTTATATAACGCGTTCATATTGTGCAAATATTCGTTGGATTACACTTTAATATATTATTTTTACTTAGTTAAATATTTTGGTTTTTGTAGTATCTATGTAAATAGATTCTTATTCTCGTATCGTTCTTTTTAAATCTAAGATACTATTTTCTGGTATTCGTTAAGATTCATTCATTATCAGCTCACTATACGTCACCACAGAGGGGCTCGGAGCCTACCATAAGTTAGGGGCGACTAGGCCATAGTTTACCACGCTGGCCCAATGCGGGTTGGTTGACTTCACACAAATCGGAAATGGAAAGACACATTGGTACATGGCGGGATTTGAATTCAGGCCCTACACATTGTAAGTCAAGGGCTTGACTCCTGAGTCAGAGACAAGATACTAGATGTTAATTCTATAGTTGTTATGTCACAATGTTAGTTACAGAACTCGAAGCGGCTTGATCGATTTTTTGAAATTCGATATCTGTATGTCTGAGAATTGACTACAATTTTTTAATACTGCGTGGATGTGATCGTGGGCGATACCTAGAATATTATAAAATGAAATAAAATAATAACCTTACTTATTAATTCAAAAAGGCTTTCATCTAATATATTTAAGGTAGCTGTCGTTTCCCGAGCTTTACAAATCACCTGACCGTTAATCCGCCGAGACTCGTTCACACTACGAGTGGCCATATCCTAAGCTTATGTAACGATTAACCGTTCCCAGGTAATTATTAAGGCGTGTAAATTGGACGCTTGTGTGAATCCGCCCTAATTTATGTTATTACTATCATTGCGTTCCCGATGATGTGTTTATTCTGAACAGTTTTTATGAATCTGTGTTTCAAACAGATAAAAGAAATCTTATTGTTAGAACTACGTATATTTAGGTAACGACTTTTTTGATTATTTCTGTGAATTGTGGTTAACATCGTAAAGGATTTTAGTAAAGATTTTGTAGTGAAGCAAAAACTAAAAAATAGATTTTAATAACTTATTGGAATTCTTTTTTTTAACTTTGTCAAGCTTCATTTATTTATTAAATTCGTCAAAACCTCGTCTATAAATATAACTGTATTCAAATAATTTAGGATAAGAACTTGACTTATTCTTCATCAACCCGATTTAATCCGTCGTTTACAATTATGTCACAACATTTTGTAATTCCCAACAACTTTATTAATGAAACTTTCAAGTTTCTAAATAAATCTGAGACGTTGTAATATTTGTTTGTCAAAATGAAATGCTTCGAGTTTAAGGTAGTTTCTGTTGATTAATGAACCAAAGGCAAACGACATCTGTGATTGAATTGTTGAAATAACAGAAGATCCTTGAATGAAGATAGATTGATATTAAAAAGAAATGATTTTATTATTATCGCTCTAACTAAAAAGTAATGAATCGATTTCATAATTATAGCTTTTCTTTCAGCCAGTAACTAAGACTACATTATAATTTGTCTATTTATCTAATTTAGCGAAGTCGCTAAAGTTGTCAGTTTTAAATATAAAAAAATTAATAGATAAAGTTGTTTACCATAGCCGTAAAAAAAAGCCAAAACCTCAATTCCAAATAAGTCAGTTAAGGCCAGGAATAAAGGTGTTTACCATAGTCTATTGGGTTTCAGAGATCTATTACTAAATGGGGCTTAACGTATGAATGGCGAATCAATTGAAAACGTCTTTCAAATGCGATGTCACCGGAATTGGTTTTGATCGACATTGAAAGGTAAAAACGGATTTGTGACCGGGATCCGAAATCCTTTTCTGTGATTTAGTCAAGACACATACTAGATTGTAATGACATAAAACGTAAATATGACCATCTTCCTCTTCTAAGTTCTACTTCTTCTAAGTACTCCAAAGTTGATTTAAGAATCACTTAAACCAAGAAACCAAGAAACTATGTAAATCCATTATCTTTTTTATGCAAAAGGAAAGAAAGCGATTATTTTAAAATCCAATGTTAAAATCACGTAGGAAACTTTATAAGTTGATAAATGAAATCAACAATTTAAAATGTTTTGTATTTATTTTGAACTGAATGCTGTAACACAATTAACAAACGGTGCTCAAATTTTGCATGCGTGAAATTGACGCGGCTCGTCCCTCGATGAATACACCTGCGTCAATCTCACTGATGCACTCACAAAAGATTCTATTAAACACTGTTAATTTACAGTTCATTATATAACTATCTTATCGACCCATATATTGGGTTAGATGACCAACGAACTAAATATTCATCTATTTAAATTCCTAAAGACATAACTTGGTGGTCAAAATCAACCATTTTGGTAAATGGCCACATCCAAAAAATCAATATCGATATTTTAAGCCAAAATGTTTAATGTATTCCTAATATTAACCAGTCTAAGTATCTGGTTGATCCGGATCCAAAGGTTGATTCGGCTCCAGACAGATCCAATCTATGGTTTGACTTCAATCGATCTATATACCACCTTTTTGTACAAAGTAATTCAAATCGATTTGATCGTAACAATCGATTACTCGGTTCGGTCATAAAAGACCTAAAACGTAAAGTAATGCTACATCGAAATCAATACCACGATTTTATCTTAAGTATTTTGTTTATTGTCATTGTAAAAAAGTCCAATAAAATATAGTTGCGCTACTTTCATATGGTGCTGTTTGTATAATGAATTTTATCCAACAATATTATTTAACTATCATTGTTTTTAGTAAATCTGGAACATTTCTTATTCATCGAATACATTTCATAATATTTCAATGAATTATT